CGGGGGGTCACGGCCCCGGCCCCTCGGCCGCGCCCTGCTCGTGCCCCGGGCGGCGGCCTGACCCCAGCGGGGTCCGTGTCTGTGCTTTAGGGGCTGCGTGGCATGGGCCCCCGCGAGGTGGCCTGCGGGCTGGGAGCCCGCTCGGGGGGTCCTCCGGTCCCTTAGGAGGCTGGGCTGGGTGGGAGGAGCCCTCGGGGAAGTTCCCCTTCTTGGAAATGGCTTCGGTCGGTCCGTGTGTCCCGGCTCCGCACCCAGAGGTCCCCGCGTGTCTGGCCAAGTCCCCGCTGCCGTGGGGTCGCGGGACAGTTGGGTTGGAGGTGCTAGCGGGGTTTGATCGCTCCTCCGCGCACGCCCCCGCCCCCCACGCGCCGGTGGCCCCGGGGGCCCTCTGGTTCCGAGGCCCGGGAGCTCCCGGAGACCACCCGAGAACTCGACCGTAAAGGATTGCCCTCCTGCCCTCAAAAGGGCTGTCCTGACAAGTTGATCATATTCTAGATTTCTCCTGTCCTGCGGGGAGCGGGGGTGGTGGTGGCTAGACCCGGAGATCCCCTCCCTGCCTGTGTGTGGTGGTGCTGTCTGGCTGCGTGCTGGGTCCTCTGCTTGCTTCTCATTTGAATAATGTCTAATTCAGGGAGGTTTATATTCTTGAAATGGCCGCCTGGCTTTCCCCGCCTCTCATGTTTAGTAATTCAGACCTTTAATAACAGCCACTCACAGCCCAACGCCGTGTTTATATTTTACATTCGCCCCATGTGCTTTTGTGGTTCGATATGATTCTTTTTTTTTTTTTTTTCTCCTCCTTCTTGGCAATCCACAAGGCTCAGAGATCAAACCCAGTCTGTGCTAGGAAGACAAGGAGAGAACTAGGCCTGGACTGCCCCAGGAGTTGCCTAGGCCTTGTTCTCTGCTGCTTGATTTATTTACTAATAACCAAAATGACTCCCCCACCAACTGCCACTTGAGTCCCCTCCTCCGCGGGCAGAACACATCCTCTTGGGGCCTTCCAGCATAAAAACAGCTCGAGCTGAGCATCAGCTCTGTGGTGGCTTGTTTTCTCCCAAAAGGAGTTTCTCTTACAGTTTGTAGTAACGTGGACCTTATTCCCAATTTGCAGAGGCTTATGAGAGCTACTGGTTTAGTACAAATAGAGGACTTGCTTGTGGGGCTAGTCTCCCTCTCCCCAAGTTAAACTCATTCAGGCTTTGCAAAGATTTGTAGTATCTGTAAAACCGGTAGATTTTTTCTTCCAGGAGCTGAGGAGTAGCTGGGTCGTTTAGAAAGTCCGGTGACAACCCTTGGGTGGTTTCTCAACAGTGCTGCTTTTCCAGTTTCTGCACGGACTCCCAGTGTGCTATCACCGACACAGACCTGCTTGTTTTAATTGTAGCAGTACTGAAAACAGAAAGAGGGTTATGTTTTCTTTGAGTGCTGGTGTCTCGGTTAAATGAGTGAAAATAGAAGATAAACACAGGCATTGTGTCTACCCTCTTCGTGCAGCTCACTCAGCATGCCCACCCCCTGCTTTAAGGTGTCATAATTGATTTTGTTTTATCTAGACTTAGTACAATTGGCCTGTGAAAACCAATTAACTTTTACTGTTGAGAGAAAACAATAATTTTGATTTCTGGTTTGTCCTGTAAGAGTTTTGTTTTTAAAAGGTGTTGCTTTCTAGGGGAAGTGTGTGAGGAGTCGTGTTGAATGTGTTAAGCCACTGTGGTGAATATATGAAGGCATAGTAGACTCCAGTTTAATTTGTAACAAAATGTCAGCTCTAGGGGACTCAATGCAAACCAGCTGAAAATAACTGGGTCTCACCATTTTTCCCTCCTTCACATCCAGTAGGTAGGCCCTGAATGATGGGGGGGGGGGAGTGCTTTCCTGAGAATGCTCAGGTGAAGGACCACTTCAGAGAGCTGAAGCCTGAGGCTGGATGGACAAAAACAGTAATATGATTTCATGCCTTAAATAGCATATGTTTTTTTGCACCCAGTTCCCAAGATGTGGTCAGACTGATGATGTCATTGGACAGAGGACAAGGTGCAGTTAATGTGATTTATTGTCCTGAGGTGAAGTATAGCAGTGGAGCCTTCTCCTAGGGAAGGCATTTATCTCAGGACAGTTTCCTTTATAGCTGCAGTTTAACCACTGAGGGGACTGTAGGTATTTTATCCAAAATGATAAAATGCACATTGCGTTTTACACATAAAGCTCACTGTTACCCTTTTTTGTTATACAGAAAAGGGGGAGGTTTGTGAACTGGCCTTTTATTTCAGTTGGCTGTCCTTGCTATAGTAAAAAATGTATTTCTTCCTATTTTCAGATGGAGACTGTAGACTTCAAATAAGAATACTTGTGGAAGTGATACATATACTTGGTTATTTTATGTTTTTGTTTGTTTGTTTAGTTGCTCTTTGTAATCTTTATCTTACAAGAAACTACTTCATCACAGTATATCCCAGGCCTGTGGAATGACCATTGGCTTTGGAGCCTATTATACTGACTAAAACTGAGTTGGGAAATGAGGGTACTATATTCTTTTATGTTAAAATTATAGTATTTAAAATAAGGGGAAACACTTAAGGGAAAGCTTGTGCTTTGAAGTAGCTTTAAAAAGACTCAAGAGTTCTTTTTGGATCTGTCTGTGCACGTTTGAACATTTTATTTTGAATGGTATTTAAAAATCCTGTTTCAAAGTAGTGATTTCTATATATAGTTTTGAGATATTACTTGATTTTCTTAAGCAGTTTGTTTTTGGTTACATTTGTTAATGGTAAAGTTTTGGGGGTATGTGATTCGAAAGGCTGTTCCTCTTGACACTGATCGTCAGGTAGGCTTAGTCTAGTATTTAGGTTACTTTGGAGCCCTCAGAAGCCTCTTAACCTGCCTGTCTCCTTTGTGGTTGTCAGGCAACTTCCCAAAAAAGTTTCTAGAAAATCTGTTGCCACTTTCTTAATTTGCCCCACCTATTAATTATAATGGAACTTTTGAATTAAGGTCTCTGACATTCGTGACAGGTGACCGAATAAATGTTTTTCATTTCTGAAGGACTTATGCTTCCAAGTCTTTACTGTAAAAGTAACTTTTAACCTCTCTCTTCCAATTTACTTTTGATTTCTTTTCATTTTGGCATGTTCAAAAAAAAAATGCCTTTAGTAAAGGAAAACACAAACGGTGGCTATTATTCAGTTGGAATGCTGTAATGTTTTGCCCTATTTTAAATCTATTTTTCTCTGCATCAGTAGGTACTATGTAGCCAAGGAAACAAAATTTGTCTCATTGCTGCCCTAGGTTGAGCTAATTGTTAAGACGTCATTCACCTGATCATTAGAATTTTGAAATAAGTTTAGGACTTAGAATGCCAAACTGCTTTTACCAGGTTACCAAAGATATGTGATAGAACCCTGAATATCACAGGCAAGTGCTCTAAAACGACAGAACTGGAATACTTTAAGTGGCTTTCATTTATAAATGAAATATTTGAATTGTTTCTTGAATCTGTATTGCTTTATCTTGATGGGTTGTAAATGTGTGGGCTTAAATTCAGACTGTTTTCCTTTGTATTGAGAAGACTGTGGCATTGTGTAGTGACAATTGCTTTATCATATTTTTTTTTTTTTAGTGCTGAAAACCATAGCCTAATTTTTTTTGTTGTAGTCTTATTTTCGGTGCCACTAAAACTAATGATACAGGACTACCATCTCTTTGCTTTTTAACACGATTTTGGTGAATAGTAATTATGTATTTTTCCTAATGGAAGTGATTTCATTTGGAATCATTCAAGTAATTTTCATTTAGAAACTAGAACAAGTCACAGATAAAACATCCAGTTTTGGTCACCCGTGCTCTCCTAAGAGCAAAAATGTCTGAGTGAACGTATTACTTATTTTGTCATAGAAATCCAACTTTAGGCATTAGAGTGAAAGTTTTGATTTGACTCAGTGACATAAAGCCCTTATTTTAATTTCTGTATTCTTCCTGAATGAATCTCTGCCCCTTGGTGATTTTGCTGTTTTGATTTTTGAGGTTGGGATTTGTTATATAGTCCACGCTGGCCTTAAACTCGCCCACTTAAATGCTCCAGCCTCCGGTGAGATAACTTAACTCTCCTTTTGTAAGAAACCTCTTTGGGCCAGTATTTGAAATTATTTTTTTACATCATACCATCTAAGTGGGTCTTTTTGAGTGGTTAAAAGAGGTAATAATTACAGTTCATAGAGAATAGCAGTTTCTTTAGCATCTTTCAAAAAGCATATTAGTGACATCTTTATTTTGTGAGTGAGGACAATTGAGCAGATTTTTAAAAAAATGCGGTTTGATTTTACACTTACATACTGCTGTGCTAAGGTGCCGGTGAGCTCTT